TTTGGATTTTTTTTTTTTTTTTTTTTTTTTTTTTTTTTTTTTTTTTTTTTTTTTTTTGGAGTGGAGCGTAAAAGAAGAAGTTAGGCACCGAAGTCGTCGATGAGATTTTTTTATATATATCTTGACCATAGTGTGTACGTGTCGGAAAGTTGGTGCGAGCGGCACGTCTCTTCTTCACACGTGTGAACTCTTTTCTTTTTTTCTTTTTGAGTACCACGTGTGTACTCTCTTTAATCGCCACGTGACCGTATGAATGCCGTGTTTGGAACTACTTGTTAATTATGAACGTTATTATTATTATTATTTTTATTTTGTAATATTCCACTCTAACGGCCCCACCTTCGCTTATTATTTTTTAATTAATATTAAATATATTTCTGCATTTTTATTTATACCCTCTCTCTCTCTCTCTCTCTCTCTATATATATATATATATATATATATATATTCAATTATAAATATAGACGTTTAATTTTTAATTTTGTGTTAAAATATATTTAAAAGACAATTTTTTAAATAAGTTATTAGTATTAATTACATTTAATGAATAAATTAACATTTTATGAATCCTCTACACTACAACAAGATTTTTATTCAAATTCGTGAATATTGCCAAATTTATTTTATTATTACTACTCGAGTATTAATTAATTTAATGAAATTGAAGTACGTTAAAAAAAATTAATAATAATTGTTTTAAACTGTGATGCTAGCTGTAGGCTTACTGTTACCGATGATATCAAAGTCAGATACTGAGTAATATGCCAATAAAGATGCTGGCCCCATGGGAGGTGGATTATTAGATGCCACATCGATTTGAGTGGAAAAGAAACATTGCTTATAAGAGTGTGGAACTGAGTGATATGTTAGTAAAGTCGCTAACCCTTAAGGGATAAGGGAGTGGATTGTTAGATGAGAGTGTTGGATGATGAAAGTCCCACATCGGTTAATTTAGGGAATGGTCATGGGTTCTTAATGTAAGAATACACTCTCCATTGGTATGAGGCCTTTTGGGGAAGCCAAAAGCAAAACCATGAGAGCTTATACTCAAAGTGGACAATATCATACTATTGTGGAGAGTCGTGTTCGTCTAACAGAGAGAGTAACAAAATATTAAAATTAAATTTTATTGAGGATAAAAAATAAAGTGAAAAAAAATAAATTATTTCAGCTAATTGTTATATGGACCAAAAATAATTTATTATGAGATAAAAATTGGAAAAATATAAAAATATGGAAGAATAAAAAAAGAAAACAAAGAAATAGGGAGCGAAAATGTCGCGTTGTCGGACGTGCACGCCATATAAGGAGAGTCGAAAAAAAAAGAAAAAAAAAAAAATAAGGGAGAAGAAACGCACAACAAAAGTCTGACCGAAGGAGAGGAATGAGAGCAACAGAGAAGAGGAGGAGATTGTAAGGCAATTCGAATGGCGGAGGTGAATCCCGGCGAATCCACCACCACCACTACCACTATCACCACCACCACCACCACCACCACTGTCAACGGTTCTCAAAACCATTCGAATTCCGATCAGCCAACGGACCGTCCAGTTCGTGTCTACGCTGATGGGATCTACGATCTCTTCCATTTTGGTCACGCTCGCTCTCTTGAGCAAGCCAAGAAATCGTCCGTTTCATCTTCCATTTTCTTTTCCTTCAGCTGAATTTCTCTTCGTTTTGTTTGTTTATTCATGCTGTGGTGCATTTTTGACTGATCGTTTACGGGGTGGTTTTTACGGTTTCTGATTCTCTTCGATTTAAGCAATTTAGTTCCTCTGTGTTCCCCGGTCCGTAGAAATTGTTGTTTTCTCCTCATTACGAGTTTTCTTCTGATGCATTAGACTGCGTGATTGTTCATACTTAAAGGTTTGTTAACTTGCTGTTACTTGTCCGTGATCTTCTCTTGCATCACTTTTTAGTGTTCAGCCTGTTCTTTTGCATTATCTTTAGGAGAATTGATTTGTTTAATTGACGAGCTGTGCATATTACTTTTTCTTGTAATTTCAGGTTCCCGAATACCTATCTGCTAGTTGGATGTTGTAATGATGAGACTACCCACAAGTTTAAAGGGAAAACTGTTATGACTGAAGCTGAACGATATGAATCTCTTCGCCATTGCAAGTATGACTTCTTGCTATTACCTGAGTTTTGGATCTTAAAATTTTGCAATAAATTGCTGTGCATTTGATTCATAGAGCCGCTAGTTAGGAGGCGCGCATGAATCCTTTCAATACAACTGTAGCTATGATGGATGAAAATTGAATTCGCAATGCATCAATATCTGCACGTACTTATAGATTTAATTATGAACGTGGATACAGTAATAGTCGCATGGATTTTTGAACATGGTTTTATTTAATTTTCTCCTTTTTTCCCCTTCCTTTTCCGTAGGTGGGTGGATGAAGTGATTCCTGATGCACCTTGGGTGATCTCTCAAGAATTTATTGACAAGCACAACATTGACTATGTGGCCCATGATTCTCTTCCGTAAGGATATTATATACTTATCTAAGTGAATCACGATGGTTAAGTAACTATGAGCATTGGTGTTTATTTCCTTTTTCCCATTTATCTGTGCCTCTACCCATCTAATTGATATATACTGGATGGTAAAGTGTGCAAGGAGGAGCTCCAATTTGTTTGTTCATTGTGGATCTATCCGTTCATATTGAACTTATAAATGGCCTATGTCATCTCGTAACTGTATTTTTTCTTTCTTTATATAGTTATGCCGATGCTAGTGGAGCCGGGAAGGATGTTTATGAATTTGTAAGTTCAGAAGATTGGTATATCCATTTGATCTGATTAGTGGTTAGGTATCAGCCATCGCATATGGTTTCATAGATGGGAACTTTTCCTTTGTAGGTTAAAAAGATTGGAAAGTTCAAGGAAACTAAAAGGACAGATGGAATATCAACTTCAGACATTATCATGAGGATTGTTAAAGATTATAATCAGTATGTGCTGCGCAATTTGGACCGTGGTTATTCAAGGAAAGAGCTTGGAGTCAGCTTTGTGAAGGCATGATATGCATCTAGATTTACCTATTTTACTCGGAGAATACTTATCTTGCTAGTCATCCACGGTATATTATATTTATTTTGCTACTTAACAAGCAACTAAATCTTGTTGTCTACAATTATCAGGAGAAGAGGCTTAGAGTAAATATGAGATTGAAGAAATTACAGGAGAAAGTTAAGGAACATCAAGAAAAAGTGGGAGAAAAGGTACTCATATCTCATACTTTAATAATAGGCCTATGGATGCAGTTGTCGGAAGCCAGAGATTATGCTGTCCGCTTAATCATTCCTCTTATTTTAAATGATGCAATAGTTGTACGTGCACCTTAGGTGTTGCAATATCTTTATGAGTTAGCAGGCCAATTTTATTCTTGAAACATTCTTACTAGCTTTTTTCTAAAGCTGTGTCTTATTGTATGTTTGGTGTATTTCTGCTACGACTTGTTAATTAAACATAAGTATCTGGAAAAAAAGGTAGAGATCTTCACATTGGAGAAAGCCGAATCTGTTATATTTTAGTCTGTGTATCACGTCTTTATTGGATAAACTTCATATTTATAGAATTTTGTTTTAAATATAATTAGGGGTGTGCATTGTGCACTCTTGGTTATACTTTTGGCACCTTGCCTGGCACTTCACAAGGCATCCCACTCACATGTGCTATCTTAGTGAGGTTGTTAAGGTTATTATGGTTATCATTATTATTTGGAACATATATCTATATGTCCTTGCCTACAAACTCTAAGCTTTTTCTTTCTAATTAGATTTTTTTTTCCTCCTACTGATATATCAACCTTCTACTTGTATTTGATGAAGTAAAAACTTATTCATATAAAAAAGATATTCATTTGCTGAAAATATTACTATGTACTTGTTACATGAGCTGTATATAGTCCGTGCCTTACCTTGAGCCTAAAAAATACAATATCGTAGATTTTCTCAATTTATTTCTTATCTCCTCAGAGCTTTGCTCGCTGTTCACTGTGTCAGTTGCTTCATTTTGGTTTTTGTCAATCCTTCAACTTTAAAAAGCATATGACAAGTTCTTATTCTGATAATTTTGTGTCTAATAAATCTTTAAATTTCAGATGTGTCTAATAAATCCATGAACTTTTAGTTGTGCCTAACTAAAAGGTCATGTCAAGATATTAAATTGAACATCTAATAGAACCTTAAACTTTCAATTTTGTTTATAATAGATTTGTGAATTTTAAATGTCGAACAGGTTATGACCTATTAGACACAATTGAAAGTTCAAACATTTATTAGACACTATATTGAAAGTTTAAGGATCTATTAAACACAAAATATAAAGTTAAGAGCATACGAACTTGAAAGTTTAAGGATCTATTAAACACAAAATATAAAGTTCAGAGCATACGAACTTGAAAGTTTTGAGATTAGGCTTGTACTTTAACCTTATTGAGCTATCTATCATTTAGAAGATATGCTTACTTGAATTAGGACCTCAAAGCAAGACAGGGAAAAATGACTTTCCTTTGGTTTTTTATTTCTTGGGGACTTATTCTTAAAACATGATTGGTTCCATATATAAACATTTTTTTTTTATGATATGGTCTTTTAGAAGAGGATTGTAATCGTACATTCATGGAGTTGAGTTTATGGTAAGAAAGTTTAATTTTGTGTCAGCTTACTTCCATGCAGGTATTATTACCCTACTTTTTAAAATTTTGCTTTAGATATATTCTAATTCCAAGTTAGCTGGAAATAACTATAATATTTCTTTTAATAATTATCCTTCTTTTGTGGTTCTTTTTTGAAGCATTTAAAAAATTCTACAGGCATGCCTAAAGATACTTATGTAGAAGTATGCAACCTAGTATTTAACTTACAGAGTGTATAAGGATACCTGACTTTTGATATCAGGATTTTGGAAAAACTGGGTAGTTGATATGTACCTCACCTAATATAACAAGTTGATTACCTTTTGTTTTTTTTTTTTGAAATATATTAGATTCTACATTTCATGCAGCATGTAATTCTTCCATTTAATGGGGTTTCCATGCATTTTCTAGGGTGAAGTTTTTGTTGCATATTTTGCAATTTGTTGTTCCTTCTCGCTCAGTCTGGGGAGCTTTTGTTGGGTGCAGTATGAGCACTGCATCTAAGTTTAAAATGGAAGATTCCTGATAAAACGATGTTGCAACAGAAAATCTGCACCATACAATTTGTTATTGTCCGTGCTTCATATTTCTAATCATTGTTCTTCACTTACTAGATCATGTCTCATGTGCTAGGATCCTCATCTGCGCATTGAAGTGGAAAAAGCTTTTTGTTCTTAAGTGCCAGCCAGATCTTTATATTCCTTTATTGTTGAGAATACTTGTTCTGGATTTTGCAGATTCAAACAGTTGCAAAAACTGCTGGTATGCACAGGAATGAGTGGGTGGAAAATGCTGATCGTTGGGTTGCTGGATTTCTAGAGATGTTTGAAGAAGGTTGTCATAAAATGGTAAGTTAACGCACGAATTACCCCTTTTGCATTTATGCAGTTAAATTTGACATAGATAAGAACGACACTACAAAACCACACAAACATAAGTTTTTGTGAATCTTGAACTAGAATTATTAATGGGTTGTGCACGATTGTATCTGAACAATCATCGGTTGGTTTAGGGCACGGCCATCCGAGATCGAATTCAAGAGCGGTTGATGGGGGCGCAGCAGCAGAAATATCTATCAAATGGCAAGGACAGTGACTACTCAGACCTTGATGAAGAATATTATTACGATGATGAAGACAATGAAGAATATTACGACGATGACGACGATGACTTCTATGAAGAATTTGAGAAAGATGAAAAGAAAAGGTAAACACAGCTTTACGTCGAATCGAGTTTGAATGCGTGTGGTCGCATGCATAGTTTGGTACTTGTTCGTGGATTCTACAGTATATTGCTTTGCCTGCTATATTGATTAGTTGCAGATGGTAAAATATAATGGTAAAATATAACTGCTAGTAAGTTGCCAAAGCCCAAAAAAAAAGAAAAAAGGGCAGTTGGTGGTAAGCTCAGGAACCATTTCTTTTACATGACCCCTTAAGATATATGTTTTTGTGCATATGATGGATGAAAATTTTCCTTGGAAGATTGTAAAACAGGTTGACGTGAAAGGCCTTTTTTGGTTTTGTTGAATCATTGTAACTCTAAGTTTGAACTTTTGGCTCTCTTGTTTGTAGGTCAAATGTAAGAGTGATGAATATGGTTTGACATTATATATTCCTCATTTTTTTTTTATTTTTTTTTATTTTTTAAATGGCAAACTCGAGATCGTTCCATGTGTCGAACATGTGATCAAGTAAGCTTTTATCTAGCCAGGTTTTAAGTTCCCAAAATTGGGATGACAAAATGCTAAATATAAATAAATAAATAAGACAAAAAAACCTTTTTTTTCAAGTCTTAAAAGGGCTTATATATACACGTTTATAGTGTATACATACAAGATAAACACGGACTTTATAACTTCATATCGAACAACTCTACACTTCACATCAAGCTCTCTAAATTGCAGACTAAACAACACGAGACTTATAGCGTGTCGAACGCTGTTTATTCTATTACTAGAATGCTTGAAGTCGTATGTTCTACCAAGTACTTGGAAATGATTCTGGGTGGGAAGATTGGTATGAGTTTTCAAGCCCATATGGCAAGTAAAGACATCAAAGCAGCTCCAACAATAAGAGCAACATTGGCAAAGAATTGAAGCTTTGCATTGCTCTGCATTCTAAGGCTCACAAAATCAGCAGCCAGAAAGTCCACAAGAGCCATATGCATTAAGATACCAGCTGAGGCTGCATTCAGAATCCCCTCAACTATGAGTGCTTTTGGGCTATCTTCGTCGTAGCTGTTGGTTACTCCAATGCCTATTGCTATCCCAATTGGCGTTGTCAGGCAGAAGAAAACTGCCATTAGCACCGCTGCCCTGGTTGTGAGCTTTGCCTGGGCGATGCATCCTCCTAGGCCCATACCTTCAAATAACTGATGAAAAGTGATGGCCGCCACAAGAGGTTTTATTGTACTTGGAGTTTCTGAGACACCCATACCAATCCCTATAATTACCGAATGTACCACAATTCCAAGCTCTAGTACCTGAGAGACCATCTCAAAGGCATTGAATTGTTGCTCGGCGTGCATAGGCCATGTCGCCATCGGCACTCCATGCCATACGCTTTCTATAATCGAGTTCCAACCACAATGTGACATGAATCCTCCTATAGAGGGGTGTGCCAATAGCTCTATCTGTGACGTCCATCCGATCACTCTCCCAGTATCTGCTGTTCTATCGAGAAATCCCTCCGGTAGGACGTCTTTGATGTCGGTGTAGTTTTTCGGCGGCGCTTTGAACTTACCCTTTGGTGGAGGCTGCCTAAGGGACCATATGAAGCCAACCGCACTTTCCTCCAATGCATTTGCTATCTCCACCACCTGATTTTCATCAAAGCTCACCATGGTCCCAAAACACACGAGAACCACTGATGATGGAGGTTTACCATCAAGCCATTGTAATATTTCTGCATAATTTTCAGCCTCACTTGATCCAGCAACCCCTGTGTTTTTCAAATGCAAAATGGGTCCAACGAAGTATAGCGGTGGGAAGACTCTGCCATTACTCGATATGGACTCCATGGCATGAAATTCCATCTCCATAAATGTATTGATAAGAATCCCATTGATTTCTGATCTAAATCTCTTAATGTGGTTATGAAACCAAACGGCCTTGTCCTTGTTGGAGAAGAGACTAGGAATGAGTTTACTGGGAATGGGATTGACAAAATTTGGCAAAGTAATGAACTCAGTATCCGAGTTCAGCAACTGTTCCACCACCTCATTGC